TATTTTATTTAATCCTCACACTGATCCTTTGAGGATGAGAAAACTGAGACAAAGTGAGGTTTAATTTGTTCAGTGTCACACAGCTAGTAAACACAAATGCAGGAATTAAATTGAGGCAGTTTGACTTCACACCTCCACTACTAAGATAAATACAAATAAGATACAAATAGATTTTGAATTTTGGAATTCTTGAGGACAAAGTGAGATAGACGGAATTGTGTGGAAGACTTGAGGAGAGTGGAAGAAATTTGGAACAACTACTTGTAGTCAATACGGAAGGAATGGAAACACTGCAATGTGGAGAACATAACTGAGGAGGAGAGCATAAATAAATAGTAGACTCTGACCTTTACTTGTTTGCAACTTTCTCTAGCAGGGTCCCAGAACAGATGTAGAATTTGATGTTGGGAGTTAGGGAAGTCAAGGGCAAGGGATTCTAAACCATGACTAAGTGTATTATTAAAACATTTGCTGGAGTGATGTTAGTGAAAATAGCAATGAAAGGAACTCAAAAATTCCACTCCTCCATTAAAACAATAAAAAACTGACAAAGACTGTCAACCTCAACTGTTTCAGAACTCTGGAAATTAAACAAAGTCTGGCAACAACCTGGGAAGCACATATTCAAAAAAAGTGGATGAATCTTAGTAAGAACAGTGAGCTTTGTGACATTTTAACATGTTGTATTCCACTCCTTCTTCCCTAGCTCAACAGTAGCTTTGAAAATAAAAAGTTACATTCCCAGTACTGACGGGAGCAGAGCAGAACTCACTGTCTACAAATTGTCATTATTTGATTTGGTTTGAAAGGCGTGCCTTTATCAGGAACACAGTGCTAACAGCTTTTCCCCAGGGAGTGTTTCTCAGAAACATTCAGATGCATGGGTTTTTTTTTTTTTTTTTTTTTCTTTTTTTTTTTTTTTTTGACGGAGTCTCATTCTTGTCACCCAGGCTGAAATGCAATGGCACAATGTCAGCTCACTGCAACCTCCACTTCCTGGGTTCAAGCGAATCTCCTACCTCAGCCTCCCAAGTAGCTGGGATTATAGGCACCTGCCACCACGCCCGCCTAATTTTTTTTTTTTTGTATTTTTAGTAGAGACAGGGTTTCACAATGTTGGCCAGGTTGATCTTGAACTCCTGACCTCAGGTGATCCACCTGCCTCGGCCTCCCAAAGTGCTGGGGTTACAGGCATGAGCCACTGTGCCTGGCCCAGAGGCAAGTGTTTCAATGATTAGATGTCTGATGTATGTGATAAAGAGTTTATATCCAAAATTTATAAGGAGCTCAACTCAACAGCAGAAGAACAAATAGCCTGATTAAAAACGTGCAAAGGATCCAAATAGACATTTTTCCAAAGATGACACACTAATGGCCAACAGGTAAATGAAAAGGTGCTCAACATCACTAGTCATCAGGGAAATGCACATTGAAACCACAATGAGCTATCACCTCACACCTGTTAGAATGGCTATTATCAAAAAGACAAGCAATAATAAGTGTTAGTGAGGGTTTGGAGAAAAGGGAACTCTTGCACACTGTTGGTGGGAATGTAACTTGGTGCAGCCACTATAGAAACAATATGGAGATTTCCCCCAAAAATAAAAACAGAATTACCATATGATCTCACAATCTCACTTGTAGGCATATATCCAAAGGAAAGGAAATCAGTATCTCAAAAACTATCTGCACCTGCATGTTCATTGCAGCATTATTTACAATAGGCAAGATATAGGAACAACCGAAGGGTTCTTCAATGGATGAATGAATTAAGTAAACGTGGTATGTAATGGAACATTATTTAGCTATAAAAAAGTGACATCAATTGAAGCAGAGAGTAGAACGGTAGTTACCAGGGGCTGGAGAGTGGGGAAAATGGGGAGATGTTTACTGAAGGGTACAAACTTTCAGTAAAAAGATGAATACATTCTGGGATGTAATAGACAGCATCATGAGTATAGCTAATAAAACTGCATTGTTTCCTTGAAATTTACAAAGAGAGTAGATCTCTCTTTGTCTTCACCACATACACACACATATGCACAATGGTAACTATACTGATTGATGTGCTAAATAATTTGTGATAATCATTTCACAACATAACATATATGACATTGTAGTACATTTTGAATACATACAATTTATATTTGTCAATTATATCTCAATAAAGTTGTGGAAAAAAGGAAAAAAAAAAAACAGAGAAAATGAATGAAACCAAATTTTGGTGTTTGAAAAGATGACCAAAACTTAGAAACCTTTAGCTAGACTGACCAATTAAAAGAAAAACAGAAGGCTGAAATGACTAAAATCAGAATAAAAGAAGACACAATACCACCAACCTATATAGAAATAAAAAGTATTATAAGGGAATAGTATGAACAATTGTATGCAAACAAATTAGATACACTAGATAACATTGACAAATTCCTAGAAACACAGGACAGACCCAAGAAGAAATAGAAAATCTATATAGACTTGGAACACGTAAAGATGTTGAGCTAATAATAAAAATTTTCCCACAAAAATAGCCTCTCACAACCAGACAGCTTCAATAATGAATTCTACCAAGTATTTAAACAAAAATCAACTCCTATCCTTCTCAAACTCTTCTAAACAGTAGAAAAGAAGGAGCACTTCCTAACACATTTTTTGGAGGGTGCTTTCTGGCAAACACCGGAAGGCCTGCTAGACAAATTCTAAAAGAGCTGTAACACTCCTAACACATTTTTATGAGGTAAGTATTATCCTGAAACTAAACCCATATGCATCACAAAAATAAAGCCTATGACCAATCGGCTTTATGATTATTAAAGCGAAACACTAAACCAATCATAATACTAGCAAAATGAATCTAGTAACATATAAAGAGAATTATATAATATTATGGTGACAAGTGGGATTTATCCCGGGAATGTAAGGTTGATTTAAACACTCAACAAACTAGGAATAGAAGTGAAATTCCTCAACCCGATAAAGAGCATGTATGAAAAACTCATAGCTCACATCACACTCAACAGTGAAAGACTGGAAGCTTTTCCACATGAATCAGTAGTAACACAAAGATGTCTGCTCTCAATACTTCTATTCAACATTGTCCTGAAAGTTCTAATGAGAGCAATTACTCAAGAAAAATAAAAGTCATTCAAATTACAAAAAGTAAAACTATCTTTGCAGATGCCTTTTTTTTTTGAGATAGAGTCTCACATTGTCACCCAGGCTGGAGTGGCATGATCTTGGCTCACTGCGACCTAGACCTCTGTGGCTCAAGCCATCTTCCTACCTCAGCATCCCAAGTAGCTGGAACCACAGGCGCTCACCACCATGTCAGGCTAATTTTTGTATTTTTAGTACAGATGGGGTTTCACCATGCTGGACAGGCTGGAACTCCTGGCCTCAGGTGACCCGCTCACTGTGGCCTCCCAAAGTGCTGAGATTACAGGCATGAGCCACTGAGCCCTAATGACATAATCTTATTTATAGAAAATCTTTTTTAAAAAATTAAGGCTAATAGGCAGGGGGTGGTGAATTATGCCTGCAAACCCAGCACTTTGGGAGGCCAAGGTGGGTGGATCACTTGAGGTAAAAAGTTTGAGATCCTCCTGGCCAACATGACTAAACCCCGTCTCTACAAAAAATACAAAAATTAGCCAGGCATGGTGGCTGGCGCCTGTAATCCCAGCTACTCGGGAGGCTAAGGCAGGAGAATTGCTTGAAGCCGGGAGGTGGAGGTTGCAGTGAGTGGAGATCATGCCATTGCACTTTAGCCTGGGCAACAGAGCAAGACTCCATTTCAAAAAAAGAAAAAAATATATTTAGGGCTAATGAATTTAGGGCTTAAATGAATTAAGCAAAGATGTAGGATACAAGACCAACATAAAAAAATCATCATTTATATTTATAAACACTAAAAATGAACAATCTGGAAAGTTAGTATTTAAAAATTATAAAGAAGTCACACGTGGGTGGAGCTCAGTGGCTCACATCCATAATCCCAGCATTTTGGGAGGCCGAGGCATTCCGATTACTTGATGTCAGGAGTCAAGACCAGCCAGGCAAACATGGCAAAACCTTGTATCTACTACAACAAACAAACAAAAAAGCAATGTGTGGTGGCCTGTGCTTGTAGTCCCAGGTACTCAGGAGGCTGAGGCGGGAGAATCGCTTGAACTCAGGAGGTGGAGGTCACAGTGAGCAGAGATCGTGCCACTGTGCTCCAGCTTGGGTGAGGAAAGAAAAAAAGAGAGAAGGAGAGAGAGAGAAAAGAGAAGGGGAGGGGAGGGAAGAATGGAGGAGCCAGGCAAGATGGCTGACGCATGTAATCCCAGCACTTTGGGAGGCCGAGGCAGGAGGATCACGAGGTTAAGAGATCGACACCAGCCTGGCCAACATGGTGAAATACTGTCTCTACTAAAAATATTAAAAAATTAGCCAGGCGTGGTGGCACACACCTGTAGTCCCAGCTACTTGGAAGACTGAGGCAGGAGACTCACTTGAACCGGAGTGAGCTTGAACTTGAGGCGGAGGCTGCAGTGAGCCGAGATCGCGCCACTGCACTCCAGCCTGTCTTCAAAGCGAGACTCCGTCTCAAAAAAACAAAACAAAACAAACAAACAAAACAGCTGGGCGCCGCGGAGGACTAGCACTTCTCAATTTCAAAACCGACTACAAACCACACTAATCGAAACAATGTGGTACTGGCATGAGGATAGACATATAGATCAATAGAATAGAATAGAGAGTCCAGCAGAAACCCATACATCTAAGATCAATTGATTTTCAAACAGGTGTCAAGACCATGCAATTGGAAAAGAATAGCCTCTTCAACAAATGGTGCTGGAGTAGGTGGATATTCACATGCAAAAGAACGAAGCAAGGCCCTTACCTCACGCCATATAAAAAAATTAATTCAAAATGAACGAAATACCTACATATAAGAGCTATAATTTGTAAGCCTCTTAGAAATATAGAGGGAGGGGTGCGCGCTCGGTGGCGCGTTGTGCGCCTGTGCGGAGTGCCCTGCTGCCCCCAACCGGAGGGGAACCAGTTTGCTCCAGGTAGCAAGCGGCGTGAGCATGCAAGCCAACATGAGCAGCGACTCGTACCAGCACTATTTTTACGACTATGACTGCGGGGAGGATTTCTACCTCTCCACGACGCCCAGTGAGGACATCTGGAAGAAATTCGAGTTGGTGCCGCCGTCCAGGGACTTGGGTCCCGCCGCCGGGGATCCGGCCCCCGCCTTTGGTCCCCTGGAACCGTGGCTGGTAGGGTGCGCTGGGGACGAGACGGAATCCCAGGGGTATTTGAAAGCTTGGGACGCGAACTACGCCCCCCTCATCCGCAGTGACTGCATGTGGAGCAGCTTCTCGGCCCAGGAGCCGCTGGAGAGAGTGGCGGGTGACCTGCTTACCGTTGGCGCGCCCTCGGGGAACTCGCCCAAGGAGTGCGCCACCTTCGACTACACTCCCGAACTCGAAGCCGGCAGCCTAGCGCTCACCTCCCCGTGTTTGCTGGGCGAGGCCGAGATCGAGGCCTGCTCCAAGTTCGAGAGCCCAAGCGACTCCGAGGGTGAAGAAATCGACGTGACAGTAAAAAGGCAGTCTTTGAGTATGCGGAAGCTGGTCACCATCGCGGTGCGTGCAGACTTTCTGGATCCCTGCATGAATCTCTTCCACATCTCCATCCACCAGCAACAGCACAACTATGCTGCTCCCTTTCCTCCAGAAAGCTGCTCCCAAGAAGGGGCTCCAGAAAGGGTTCCCCCAAAAGAGGCTCTAGAACGAGAAGCTCCAGGGGGAAATGATGATAAGGAGGATGAAGAGATTGTGAGTCTCCCGCCTGTAGAAAGTGAGGCTGCCCAGCCCTGCCAGCCCAAACTCATCCGTTGTGATACTGAGGATGAGACCAAGAAGAAGAACCACACCTTCCTGGAGCGCAAGAGGCGGAATGATCAGCGTTCACGGTTCTCGGCCCTGAGGAACGAGATACCCGCCCTGGCCAGCTGCTCTAGGGTTTCCAAAGTAATGATCCTAGTCAAGGCCGCAGAATACTTACAAGAACTGATAGGGGCTGAAGAAAGGATGGCCATGGAGAAAAGGCAGCTCAAACGCCAGCAACGGCAATTGCAGAAAAGAATTGAGTACCTCACTGACCAAAAAGCCTGACTGTTCTATTTTAAAAAGACACAAGTTTTCTTTTGAACCTTCCTCTCCCCTTTAGTAATTTGTACATTTTTGTTACAGCAAGACACTCTGGACAGTAGATTGCAGAATGCGTTACAGCCCGTGCACATACAGTATAAAGGCTTGCGTTCTTGGAAACCTTGAAACCCAGCTCTCTCTTTTCCCTGACTCATGGGAGTGCCTTGTGTTTTCTGGCACCTTTGGCTTCTCAGCAGGCAGTTGACTGAGGAAACTTGGGGTCTGCCTGGCTCACTATCTCCAAAGAAAATGTTGACAGATGCTATGCAACAGGTGGTGGATGTTGTTGGGGGCTCCAGCCTGCAGGAAATCTCATACCCTGCATGAACTTTAGAATGGGAAAGGATGCTCCTACTGGTGTCTCTGGGGTGATGCAAGGACAGCTGGGTGTGGACGGTCTCCCTACAACTCCTTTTTTCCCTAGGAGACACACAGCTGTATTGGGTGAAGACAAACTTGACCAGAGACTTGACCAACATGGACCATTACCTCACTGTTGGACACTACAGTAGCTGAGAAGTTGGAAACTTTATGTATATATGTATATATTATGATGTTGACTGCCCCCCTTCCTCCCATTCTCAATGCTGTGACTCAGAACATTTAAAGAGCTTCACCTGTAAGTAATTTGTCTTAGAGCCCTCTGGGCTCTCTAAGGGAAGGAACTTTCTTTCCTCACAAGGGACTTTGTCTCATTCTGCCTCTGTTATGTAGTGGGTTCTACAGCACCCTTTCCCACAGGTCAGAAATATTTCCCTAAGACAGAGGGAAATGGGTCTTAGCCTGGGGCCTGGGGAAAGTTCGGAGTCCTGGTTCATGAACTTGATCCCTGCCCAGTTGTTTTCCAAGGGGCACTTAAGGCCCAATCTTTTCTTGAGGCAGGTGTGAGGCACTTTAGAAGGGAGAACTGTAACACTTCCTCTTTTCACACCTACCTCTCATGTCAATTCTTGACTGATGAATTTGAAGTCCTGCTAGAACAATATAAACTTGTTTTTTTCATGCGTCTCCAAGGAGCTTGCTGGCTCTGCAGCCACCCTTGGGCCCTCGCACCAGCCTGCAATGAGTCAGATGTCTTTCACAGAATCTAGGCCTTTCTGAAGTTTACTGGAGAGCCATTAGGACTCATCCAGTGCTCCAGAAGGTGGACTTGCCTCCTGGTGGGTTTTAAAGGAGCCTCCAGGAGCTCTACTTGTCAACCATGATGGATTTTTTTTTCCTTTCTTTTTTTTCTTTCTTTCTTTTTTTTTTTTTTTTTTT